TCTCCCAAATAAACAGACACAAAAATCTTCAATAAGATATTGGCAAAGAAAATGCAGAAAATCATCAAGATTATACACCACGACCAAGTAGCATTCATGCCAGGGATTCAGGAATGGTTCAGCACATGCAAATCAATAAATGTAATACACGATATCAACAGAGCTAAGGACAAAATCACATAATTATCTCAATATATGCAGAAAAAACACTTGACAAAGTCCAATACCTATTCATGATTTTTTAAAAACTAGAAAATTAAAATAAATGGTCTTTATCTCAATGTGACAAAAATCATCTATGACAAACCAATAGCCAGCATCATATTAATTGACTGAAAACTTGCACCCTAAAATCAGGAACAAGACAAGGATATCCACTATCACCACTCTTATTCAATATAGTTCTGGAAATATTAGCCAGAGCAATTATACAAGAGAAAGAAATAAAAGATAGGAAAGGCAGAAGTTAAACAATCATTATTTGCAGATGACATGATACTCCACATAGAAAACAAAAACTCCTCCAAAAGACTTCTAGATTTAATAACCAAATTCAGTCACATAGCAAGATATACAGTCAATGCTCCCGTCTTGATGTACCATGCCTCACAGACCCAATTATTCAAGCCAAGCAACCATGGACTGAAGCCTCTGAAACCAAATGAGCCAAAATAACTTTTTCTCCTTTTAAATTGATAATCTCAGGTATTTTTTCACGATGACAGAAAACTGACTAGCCTGCATGCTTTATGTTGAAGTAATAAATTTAAATTCTATTTATTTGGCAAAATATATATCTTCATTTTTACTTGGGATGTGGCTCTTGAATAAATTATTCCTGGTCTTTATATGAACACTCATTTCATAAATGAAACTCCCATTATTTAATTCTTCTCAATTTTCAGAATATTATGGAAACTCATTTATCAACCTATTTTGCTGCCTGTTAGGCATCTACAAAAGTTCACAAGTCTAGACCAATGACAGAACACTTATACAATTCAAGCAAAGCAGATTTATTACAGGCGGGAACTGAGGATAAGCAGAAGCTCAGGATACAGGATGAGCTGCACCCTCAGCTGGAAGGCTGCCCAGGGTGGATGTGATCACATCTGTGCATGCCACACACACACACTGCAGCTGAGGACCTGCAAGCACTTCACTCTGACTTTATGCCTGGGAGTGACATAAATGTCTGATCTCAGACACTGCAGGACACACTATTCTGAGAGGAACAAGGTCTCCACCCAGTTGTTCTGGACCATTCCTCTTTATTTCAGGATGTTTCGCTCTCAGTGCTTTTTGCCCAGGGATTGCAAACGATGAGGATTATAATCCAGAAAGATGATCTCTGATGCCATAATCCCAAATGTTGAAGTCTCAAAATATCAAAATTCCTAAAGCCTAAAATACTAAAAATTAATCTTGAAAGATTAAACCCCCAAATATTGACATACAGAAAGCTGAAATCCTGAAAGCCCCAATTTCCATGAAAAAGACTACAAAAGAAGGGTAAAAAGCCAAGTTACATGGAGCAGCTGATCAGGCAATACAACAATGACAGCAATTTCAGTTTTCCAGTGCACATTAGTCTGTATGGGCAATCCTTCAGTGAATGAAATTTCAAGAGTTTTCTTTTTTCACTTTGTATTTCTTTATCAGTACCCTTTATAGTTCCTTGTGGAAAGTTGGTACATGTGCATAACATGTCTTAATTCCTTTTCATCCCCTTCCCTCCTCTTCCTCCCCTCTTCTTGCGTCTCTTGATCCTCTTCCCTTTTGCAAAAGTTTTATCTCCCCATTTCCTATTGTATATCTTTAATTTTGCTCTCTATATTTTGAGTTGCTCATAAAGAGAAACAATGCAATATTTAAACTTGTGTCTGATTTATTTCACTTGACATTATCTCCAAGTGCATCTATTTCCCTACGAATGACTCAAGCTTATCCTTTTTATGGTACAGAAGTACTCCATGGTGTATAAATACCACACTTTCTTTATCCATTCACCTGTTGATGGACATATAAGCCACTTCTGAGATTTAGCTATTATGAATTCCCAGGCAAACCTTCAAAGCTAGTGATTGCAAAAGCTGGACAGCTCTTACAGACGATGTCTGTTCACCTGCCCCAGTCTATCCTTGTAACAAATGTTCTCAGATGTCGGCTTCTGCTTTTAGTTTTCTTGGTGGAGAGACTAGGTGCTTTTCCCTTTTCATGTTCTTCTCACTATTTAAAATTCTCAGTATTATTTTTTTACAATTTGCTGTGCTAAATATTTCATCTTTACATCATTTATAATACTGAAGGTACAAATTATATAAAGATTTTTAGAGTTCTGGTTCTAAAAAATTTCATAAATTTTTTTACAAATTTGACTGAAAGTAAAATTAATTGATGTGAAAGTATATTATTACATTAGACATTTTATGCAAGCATTGTGTATGTACATGAAAATGTTGAAACTTCCTCAATAAATTAACAGATACCCTGTTTGTATAACTGTACACGTGATGGCTATAGTTATAAAGTTAGATGTATATAGTTACTAACCATATTGATATACATATATACATTTCATCTTTTGATCTATTTCATTATGATACGATTTGCCTATAAATATATATTATACCCATACAACTGTAACTAGCATACCTGAGGGCTTATGCATGCAAATATAT